ACACTCTATCACAGTAGCGAAATCTTACTTATTTAGTACTGTTTAAAAAACTAGTTCTCGAGTTTTTAAACCTGAAAATACACGACTGTGAGTTTTTTTAGAACGGCTTCAAAATCTCTGCATGATTTAGATCAATTCATTCTTGCTATAAAATTAAGATTTGGGGTTATTTTGGTCTAAATAATTTGACGTAATTTAGCCATGTCTATATCAGATATAAGGACACTCATTAAGGATTAATTTCTTTACGAATTATTAATGCTTTTTGGAACGGGTTTGAGAAGAAGTAGTAACAACTTTATTTACCGAACGTGAAATACATTTTATAACTAGTTACGTAACCTGCTATTTTACTCAATGGCCCTCCAAATAGGTAACATCAAAACAGATAGTGATGGAGAAAACATAATTCAGTTCTACTCACATGTTCATTTTCTAGCTTTAAAAATTTATTTCTAAGTTATTCAGCACAAAGCAATCATTACATGAGCAATATGAGAATTAGGACCAAATAACCCCAATGCCGGTGAACAGACTATTGTCAATGGCAACTATGATACTTTTCTTGATCTAAAGTTCGTTTGTTTGTTCAACTTACATGTACTCCACAAGTGGAAGGTTTGATAAAGCTTTCTCCTGGATCTGGTTGATTCGGTTGTTTGCAAACAGTCTGGAAACGGCACAGAAACACAAGTGAGGTTACAAAGAACAAAACCTTTCTTTACCATAATTGGTTTGAAATTAAAAAAGAGTGATAGATTTCCAGAAAACATTTACATTATTCTGCGGATTAATCGAACATCGAAAATGGCGATATTCACCCATTTGATAATATTCGTCAGGCTATGCACACTTAGTGATCTTGGTGATTCAAGCAATCCGATTGGTTCGTTGTCTCGGGGTATGCCGTTTTATTCACCGCAGTAGGCGGTGAATTTAAAGCAAAACAAAATTGCTGTCGTGAACTGGGTGTTTTGTCAAAGTTCAAGGTAAGTACTCGTTGAACATACAAGAACATCCTAGTGGTGATGTTTTTGAAGATAAGAAAAGACTACATAGTGTTTAAACATCGTAATTTATCGTGATGAGTTTTACTCTAGCTGACTGTTTATATGCTCGAAGCGATGTTTACCTCTAGAGAGGGCCGTTTTGTCACTGCTTTGTGAACTCGGGATTTCCTAGCAAGACCAATTTTACCAAGAAAGAGGAGTGAATTTATGAAGAAAAAAAGGAAATATAAAAAAAACAAAACAAAACAAATATTAACGAAAATTGTACGTGCCAGCAAGGTAACTAGGCAAAGAACACTCACTACACATAATCCGAAAGCTGGCCTCGATCATGGCCGCTGTTGACAGCATTTACAAGAAGTGACAAAAAAAACTTTGTTATTCACAGTGAGTAGACAGAAGCAATTAAGGAGAAGCAAATAAAGTTTTATATTTCTGTTCGGAAGGGGAAGTTATTTGAATTTTGGAAGTTCTCTTTTAAACCATTGATCCTAAGGCTTACAAAAAGATTAAAAGTATGATTTGCCACGTTTGAAAATACTGTAAAAATCCGACGTTTGAGCATCTACAGTGTACGGCCAGGTCTGGTGTATGGCTACATTTTCAGGTATGAATAAACCTGTCAATCAAACAAATTGTCTTTCAATGGTTTTCTTTCTGACTCTGTTGAGATCACTTCGTGGGTATATACTAAAACAATTATTCTTTCAGTCTCGAATAGTGGCCTTAGGGATACTTACCTCGATTTCAAAAGAATAATTGTTTTTATGATAAGGATATTTAAAAACATCATTATCATACATTACCAAACAATTGAGAAAGGTAAAGGCGTGTATAAGTTACATAATCTGCATCACACAGGTAACATTTGTCATACACATTGCTGATTGACGAGAGGTGTAATTTTGATCCCATCGGCAATTTTTTTACTCGTAAACACTGATCGCAGATCACTCTTTTTATTTTCTTTCCAAGATCTGAAAGCTGTCTTCATACAACGTCAGCTGATCTTTGATCTTTGAACGGCAGAATAGACCGAGCGGGTGTAATTGTTTGATGAACGCGAACTTGCTCTGCGACTCGATGAATCTACATGTCTAAAAAAGAGGTGGGAAGAAAAAAGGCGATTTTGAGGGGTTTTCAAACCAGTAAAACTGTTTTTTAGGGCTTCTGATGAAAGATTGTAACAGAACGTGTTTGAAGAATTCGCTGGAAACGAAAGATATATACCACAGGTAGCCCAAGCTCGAAATATGAGCATCGGCGAACATCGGCATTGCTGCGTAACATTCGAAATATAAGGATTTGTATGGGAAAAAAACCTATCGTTTCCGTAACCTACGAAAATGAAGATTTCAATAAAAAACAGCTTACCTTACTTAAAATATAATGTGTGTTACGTCTCTCCTGTGTGGTCTACGGGCCGATTTATGGCCGTTTTATGGGTTTTTATGTAAACGGTTTTCTCTCTATATAAAGGTTTACCAAAACCAAAGGTAAGCTGTTTTTTATTGAAATCCTTTCATTTTCGTAGGTTACAGAAACGATAGGTTTTTTCCCCATACAAATCCTTATATTTCGAATGTTACGCAACAATGCCGATGTTCGCCGATGATCATATTTCGAGCTTGGGCTACCTGTGTATACACCAGAAACTGTTGTATCTCATAGCGCGTGCTTTATTCCAAAGGATAACATAACTTTAAACAAGACTCAAGTCCGGAAACGAATTACTAACATTATGGTGTACATAGTAAGAATTTCGGCAAACCAAAGAGCTAGAGTTGTGGACATACGACAAAGCACGAAGCCCTTTACCTGGTATAAGAGTTGCTCAGAGATGTAAACATAACAGTCGCCAGAACTCAATATGAGCACGAATGACAAAAAATACAGTAGGCTTGGTAGAGAAAATAACAACGTTTTCCAAAAGATAGAACGACCTTGAAAAAAAATTAAGCGATGCTGTCATTTGTACAACACCAATATACGACAGGAGCTAATGTAATTGTGATGTAAGAAAAAAGCGGTTTTTTCATAATACGCCTAGTTCATGGCAAAACAGTGTTTTGTTGACTTCACAAGAATTGTACCGGATCATTTTTAGTTTGAAGGTGTTGCTAACACTTATATGTGTTTGTCTGCTAACAAAAATTACCTTGCGTGATAATTGTCACTAACTAAGGCCTGTTTCAAACGTCGTGCTTCTGCTGTGTTAAGCTGGCTAGACTGTAGCTCGACTGCAGCACGACACTAGCACGACTTGGTTTCAGACGTCGAATTTAATTCAGTCGAATAGAACGGCTGTTGCCGAAAACAAAACACAAAAATAAGTTTAGCAAGCCTTTAAATGTGTTCTAATGTATTTATGATTTATGAATTGAGTTCGGCACGGCGGTAGCACGACGTTTGAAACCAAGTCGAGCTACTGCCGTGTAGCACGGCAAGGGTTGCTGTGCTACACGGCAGTATCACGACTTGGTTTCAAACGTCGCGCTACTGTCGTGCTAAAGTCGAATTTAACTCGATCAGTTGAGTTCGCACGGCAGTAGCACGACGTTTGAAACAACCAAATTAGTTTACTTTGAACTGATTTGCATAGATCGACAGTACTCACCAACAGTACTCACTGTAAAACCTTAATAATGTGTGCTTTTTCTATAGAATCTTAACATCTCAGGGATCTTTGACGCTCTTATTTACAGCAAAAACGCAATTTTCAGCTTTGTAGTCACAGTACTCACTTTTAAATGGAGAGAAAAAATAGCGAAACCTTTTTGCCTTACTGAACCAAGTGAGTACTGTTGTATTCTCTTGACGAGATGGCCTTCTTGACGCATATTATTTCAAAAGCATATCAACTTTTGATTGAAATATACCTAATATATAGCCATGTTTTTTTAGTTAATTACTGCGGAGCGGCCGTGGGGAGGGAGCAGCAACATAATCAGGATTTAAGGGAAATATATAAGGTGGGACGAATTCCATCCTCGGAGACCCAGGGGCAGTCAGTCGGGCCGGGTTAAAAGGCGCGACAAAAGTTTTCAAGCATGGGCGGAACTTTTCCGCCTGTGGTTGAAAACTTTTGTCGCGCCTTTTCTCCCGACTGACCGCCCCTGGGTCTCCGAGGATGGACGAATTCTCGAATTCATCACTTCTTAGCAGAATGCATTGCATTTAACCAGAGGTCACTGCGCTCCCTTTTACCAGAATGCATTGCGCTACGAACAACTCAAGAAAGTTCGGTGGGTGAGAGCGTGCATCGTTCGTTGTTTTCTTTGTGTCAAATTTTCTACAGTACGGTTAGAGATCTTGCCAAATTTAAGACACGCAGGAGTCTTTCAGATGAGTACGATGGTTAACTTGGGATTGGATTTCAATTCATGAGCCTTTGACTCGTCCAGGCGTTAAACTTGACGAGAAGATGAGCATTTTCTCGCCCCATGTAAGGTAATCCAAGAGAGTCTTGGATTCCGGATTCCACGCTGTGGATTCCGGATTCCATGCCTGTGGATTTCGGATTCCACATCCGTGGATTCCGGATTCCATAAGTGGCTGGATTCCAGATTTCAAAATTCTATTTTCTGGTTTTCAACGTTTCCTTTGTACTTTGTTTTCACCAAAAAAGCTTGTTCTTTTTTTACCCGAAGTGTACATTGTCTTATATAAAATATAAGTATAAAATATAATTCTTGGCCTTACCCGAGAGGATTATGAATATAGGAGCGGTTTCTGAAGTCCACTGAGTCCACATCGTTGAAGAAATACTAACGAGGAAGGGCTATTCTTATTTTAATAATAACAACGGCGTCAACAATAACAAAAGAGGTACACATTGCCAAAATCAGTGCTTTTCAGGTTCAAACATAATTCGTCTCCGAATTGTTTAATTGCCACACAGAAATGTAAAACTTCAGTTACAGCTTACCAACAAATAGCGTGAAGATAGTCCAATTACTATACTACAAGCTACGCAGGCAACGGAAACGTTTATCTCAGAATAAACCGTGTCGTTCTCCGTCCTGATAAACTAACTCCCGGCAGTCTTATCGGGAGGGATACTTCTCCCTCATCCTCTGCAGTTGGTGGTGCAGTTTCATTCTCATTGTCATCATCGTCACCGTAGTCCCCATTAGCAATTCGACAGAGCCTGTTATCCTCCTCTGTTGTTAAAATGATGTCTGATCCATCGGAAGAAAAGTCGAGTACTCGGGTTAGAATGCACTTGGGGGAATTCCCATTACAGACATCACCGGAGGTGTATGTTAGTGAATCACTTGTTTGGTTTAGCCACTTTAGGGATACTCTTTGCTGCACAAAATTTCCACCATTCACTTCTATTTGTACATCCTCCAGAAGAACTGCTAACCAGAAGGGTGAGATCTCTCTTCTACGGTTGTGTCTTACTGCCAATATGTCGTCTTTCTGGTAAATGGTTTGCACCCGTACAGCCGTACTCCGCAATGCCACATTAGCATCCACAACTTGGCAGGCTGTTGTTACGTCTTCGCTTTCCTCTAATGAGGCTGTGATGGTAGTGGGACACATACTAAGGGCATAAGGAAGGGTGCCAGTTAGCTCTTTCGTTTTTGAGCGGACATTTTCCTGTCTTACGCCTCTTCCATACTCCTTAGCAAATTCTCGCATCACAGTTTCTCGCCTTGTGTCTTCTTCTTTGCTACCTGTTCCTTCAGTGATTGCTGACAGCTTGTTTGGTCGCGTCTTGATGTTTGGGGGTTCACCTTTGATAATTTTCTCCGGATAATATGAATTGGGCCCAGTGAAATATGAGAAATCCTTCTGGTAAATGCGCAGCATATCGTCTTCCACGCAGCGCGCTCTTCTGTAAGCGTAGTTAGCCACTGTAGGCATGTCGTGGTCTGCTCGCATTCCTTTGAAATAGCATTCCACGCCCAAAGTTGTCATACTTTCGAAACAGATCCTGTCCAGAAGGTGACTATGCCCAATCTCCGTTAGCGTGTTGGTAAGGCTGGTCAGCGATTCTAGCACTATGAGGAAGGACTGTCGGGTGCATCGAGGTATGGTCATGTCGGGACCGTTGGTATTTCGCTTGCCCGTCCTCTCCAGGGCTTCCTGTTCGTGGTTAGAGAGAAATGCAACCAACTCCTCGACAGATTTCACATGATCTTCAAATGTACGTGGTAGGTCTTCTTCTTTGGCTTTCTTGTCGAGTCGGAACACGTTTGCATATTGGGCCATCTTACTTTGCAGGGGGATCAGTCCCTTTGCTGACGTCAACATTCTTATTGCTACGTTACCGGTATCGCATACGAAAACAGTGTTTCGATATACGCATAAAGCAGTAGGCTTGTTCCATCGACTTTGGACACCATCACGATGGCCTGCAGTTTCTCCACACACTTTTGTTAGGGTTTCTTTACCCCCAAGCATCTCTTCTTCCTTCAAACTGAACAGTGCGTGTTCTTTGCTGGAGGACAAGAACACGGTTCCACCATCTGTCACTGCAATACCCATGAGGCCTGGAATATTCGAAATTGTTCTCAGTTTCAATCGTCCTCTCACTTGACAAAGATGAATACATGAACCATTCCCGTCTCCAACTAACAAGTATTGCTCGTCACGTGTTAAGGCTAATGAAGTTAATAAACTAGATCGATCAAAACAAAACAATTCATTTAACTGGCCGACGCAGTTAGTTTCCTCATCGTCTACAACACCAGAAATTGAAAAAATCTTGCCAAGACCAACGTCTGACACAAACAGTTCAACGCTACCCTTTGCAGACGCACATATGGCAAATGGTGACACCAGATCCGGTACATTACCTTCAGAAATAAGGGAAAGATCGTGTACATGGACTTTACGGATACGTCTACCGGCGCAATCTTCTTCCTCACTTTGGCTTTCTTCGGCGCTCCCTTGTACAATCTGGGAAGCGTGACAGAAAAGCGTTCGCAAATTGACTACTCTAACTCTTCCGTTTCCTTGGTCACAAACGTACAGCTTCCCGCTCTCTTTCACCGCAATACCAGCTGGGTTTCTAAATCTGGCCTTGTTGCCATATCCATTAGTGTGCCCGGGCTCACCACCACCAGCGATTAATGTGACATTTGCTGGACAGTGCATGTCAACCATGAAGACTGCATGGAGACGTCTATCGGTAATAAACAGCCTGCTATGCTTTGGGGAGAATGCCAATCCTACCGGGTAGCTTAAAAGAGAGGCCCCGTTCTTTTTCCAGTGCTTGAATTCCAGTTCTGGAACTAATGTTGTGCTCACTCTTTCATCTGGAATGGAATCTTGAATCGCTTTCCGGTGAATCTCCACTGCTGTTTCTACATCCATCCGATCTTTGTTTCGAACTGCTTTCAATGAAACTGATTTCTTGATGTCTTCGTATTCTCTACGTAGCACCAAAAGCAGCCTTACATTCACTAGGTATCCATCAATGTCAATCCAATGCCAAAACTCTGCAGAACGTACTGACTTGATGTTGTGTGGGCAGTCAGGAATAGGGACTTGGTAGGGGTACTTCGCCCTGTCTGCTAGCATGGAATTCATAAAGCTCTTTTGCTTGGGATCGCAGTCAGTGGCCCAAACCAATAGGAACAGTCTTGTGCATACTTTATCTTCTCTCATGCACAAACTACAAGGGCGAAGAAGACCTTTTCAAGCAATTTCCGGAGCTCTACGGTGAAGTAAATTCGATAATTTACTTTGGATTCACTTTGGTATGTTCGTTTCATTGATCAAATGCTCTATTTAATTAGCATGTCTGTAAATGGTATGGAAACGCTGTCACCTTCGAATATAATTTTGATCACAGAAACGCTTCAGTAAGTGTTCGCACAACCACCGCTTTTTGAGCAGAAAACACGAATAGAACAAACAACGACAACTCCACAGACCTTGAACTAATCTTTTCTTTCTCCGCTTTTCTCTCTTTCTTTCTTGGACTCCTGTACATAAATTTGCAAGATAGTTAGCTCATAATTCTGAACATGATAGAAACAGACAGATATAGCTGCTCGAAGTTTTAGATTACTGTTTCACACATTCTGATCTATTCAAAACCACGCCGCCAAAACATTTCCATCACAAAGTCACAAACACCGAATTTATAGACGTACGTACCTTTCCGACTCATGCTTTTTCTTGTGCTTCCCCATGCTGACAAAGATTGATAACGATCGATTGAGAAAAAAATTCAAAGTGATCTCTCGAGATGTCTGATTTCGACTGATTGAATCTGGACTGAATGAAAGACACCACGTCGACACCACGTGCAGCATGTCATTCTTTGAGTGACACTGATGACATGTGCCTGAAAGAAGCCAGTAACTGCAACCACCGCGACTACTGATACTACGGCCAAGAATAAGGATACTTTATATTATTATTCTTTTGACGTTACCTGAAATCCAAAAATTAGTTCCAATTGCGCCCAAACAGGAAAAGAATCTAAACCTCCGACTCCAAAAGCGCAACGGGGAAAAAGGTCGAAAGGGTGTCTTATAAAGAGCGATAATATACAGTAATATGAATCACTCCCTGGGATTCTGTCACGTCATTATAATGTGACCATTGTTTCAAATTGATACCCGATATGTCACAATGACAAGGGATGTTCCTGCGAGTGAAACACGCGTGAACATGCCTTTGGCGCGTCCTTGCGACATGAGATTTTCACGCAACAGTCGCTAAAGGAAAAGAAGAGGCCCTGGAACCATCACAACAGAGTGGATTCCAGCAACCTGGATTCTGGATTACAATGCTTGGATTCCGGATTCCATTAGCTGGATTCCGGATTCCAAAGCCGTGGATTCCGGATTCCACAGACCAAAATTACCTGGATTCCGGATTCCGGATTACCTTACATGGGGCGAATTTTCTCTTCGACCCCGCAACACAGGGGATATACAAATTCCAGCTTACTAGAAGGTGATGTGAAAGTGAGAAAATGTCATGCCACGCTATTCTTAAGAACCTGTATGAGCCGAAAATGGATGTGATTTTGACCATTAGCTTCAAAATAATAAATCGAGATAACAAAACATATGTTTTGCGTCCTACTTTGCAGACGATGACGTGTATCGGCGTTTTGAAAAGCATAATTATGTTCTTTCATTCATTCTTTGCCATGGAATATGCGTTGCGCTCGGTTAATGCAGCCGGCAGGCAGCTGGCGATCATCTTGCCAGCGGAAGTTTCATTCAAAAGGCATTACTTTTCCTTCTAGTCACGTAATTAGCCTCTGTGGTGTAGTGGTTATGCGTAGTCGCGTCGGACCCAAGGCGCCGGGTTCGAGTCCTACTTAACTTTTTTTTTTCCCCGTTTTTTTGGTGTTGTTGTTTTCTATAAATATATGGCTAATGAGGGAATTGCCATGTAAAAACTTGCTATGGTGAGAAAATAGTTTCAAAGGTCATTATTATTGCATGTGATCACCTACTTGGCTACAAAATGCCTGAAAAGTGTAGGAAAAGTGAAGAAAACAGACTTTTTTTTCCAAAACTAGGATTCAGACAATTGTAGTTATGCTAAAATTAATCAGCCTCTCAGGATATTTGAGTTTCAAGAAGATCGCTTTGAGGTTATCGCATTCCTCCGCAAATAGGGCAGATGACGATGAAAGGCGGAGGACTCGGTTTAGCATGGTCATGAAAAGGGATCGTTTTTATCGGGCGTCTACATGGCTTTCATAATGGAGGAGGAGACCCTTGTTCGTTACTTTCCTCAATACACATGTTTTCAGTTGACTGCTCCTCTTTAACAAAAGATACCAAAAGATAAAATTGATTAACTTTATACATGTTTACTATTTTAATTATTGCCATGAAGCAGGTGAATTGCATTATTATTCACGGTCAGTTTAAATTGTTAAAATGAACATGCTTAGTTGTGAATCGCTACCTTGACTCAGTTTCAAATACAGCGAGATGAGTGACAGTTTTAAAGGCCTTGCCAGGATATGTATTAAAGGACTCAACGGTGTTTAACTGCTTCAAAAGTCTGTCGCGTTAAATGGCTAATTGATCAATTGCTGGTTTTCAGTGTCACGCCATTCAAAATAGATCAAAATAAAAATCAAAACCGTTCAATAGATAAAGTCCAGAATCTGGGAAATGAAAGGAGGTACATATACAAAGGCCCTCGCCAAGATTCAGGTCAGAGGAATATTTCGTATACGAGATATCCGAAGAAATGTTTTACCCAAACTTATAGAGATTTGTATGGAGACGCCATGCTGGTGCTTACCTGGATGAGCTCCAACATGGCGGACGGAAATCAACAGAAACATCTGTTACCGTGTTTAGCTACAAAAGCGTGAATTTATTCTTCAAGAAACTCATAAACATTAAACTAATGCTTTTTCTAATACATGAACTGTTTAGATAGCAAAATTTCCTGAAATAAGTCATTTTTTTAACCTACTTGACAGCTCTCTTGGCCGTCATGTAAATGCCGCGTCAAGCAGAAGCTTAGAAATTCAAGCGTACTTTATCACAAAACCAAGAACCCTTTTGAAGCGAAAATTTGTACGAAAATTAGGTTTCAGCCACTCTAATGCATCGCGAAAGTAAAATCTCGGTAGGATCGATAGCTTTTTAGTTTGAATTTTAGTGACGTCATGTGAAAACCAACAATACTCATTCTTTCCATACTTACAGGGCAGTAGTGTAGGAAGGCATACTCTTGGGAATAATCCGTAAGCCGTAGCCCTGAATTGCAAATTTGTTGGAAGAATCGCTGATCATGAAGCACGAGCAGTCGGATGGACAATCTAGTTTTAACAAGTTAAAAGCGAAAAATGAATGAATAGCAACCAATTTTACGGGACAAATAAGACTATCGAAGTAATCTTGAATGGGTGAAAATACATTTTTTATCAGTTCTGAGCCCCGAAAATGTTCTGTTTGTTTTTGTTTTTTGTTTTGTTTTTCGATCTTCTAATCTCTTATCAATTTTTGGTTATGTTAATATTTTGTGCCCCTGAGTTGACAAGGGGATACATAAATAAATTCAAAGATTAGGATAATACGTTACCTCTCTTGCTGGAACAAATCTTATCTTCAGTTTGTTCTGTGGAAATACCAATAGATATTATTAAGTGCATATCAGGAAACTTTGCATCGTTTTTTTAGGTGATCATGAAATCATGATATAAGCCGTCATGAAATTGATATTGTAAAGAATAGAAGAGGTGAGTGAAATTCTACATTGACAGAAAAAAACTTTAAAACAACTATGACCCAACTGATAAGCAGTATCTTAAAAACAAACCACGTGATTTCTATGAGAAGCTGATCAGAGGCGGAGCTATTAAAAACCGTGGCCGGCCGCCATAAAGTAGTCATATTAGAAAAGCATATTGACAACAAGGCATTAAATTAAATTTAATTGGTTTCGTGGACCTTCATAATGTTGCTACACTATTTATGGTTCTTTTTAGTGAAAGCATGACTTTAGCTTGGAATCGCATAATATCAGGTACGGGTATTTTAGCGACGATATTAGGATTTCCACACCGCCCTGTGGCCCATTCCCGAAGTAAGTAGATTGGTTCTGTATTCAGTACATTTTTGTAAAGAAAACTCCATCGACTAGTCATAAGTGGTTTTCTTTAGTTTAACTTTTCTGTAGTAGGTGTAGCTGCATCTAGAGAATATTATATAACTGAGTAAAAAGTTGTAAATTCAGACTTTTTACTTAAACATTTGTACTACTATGGAATTCACGCTTGTTTACAACTGATGACTGTCAGTATCGTTGAACGTAGTACTTAAGCGAAAAACAAACCAAATTCTTAGGACGGTCAGAATCTACTGGTCTGTTAAAATAACTTTTTTGCACAGAACTGCCTATCGTTTAAAAGATAAGAGTCTGAATAAGATTTTCTCTTCGACGGTGGCTGAAGGAAGTTCACGGACAACTCTTACACGTAGCGAGTTTCTTTCCTTTTCTACTTATTTGATATAATTTTCGATTTTTTACTAAAATGAATACAATTAGATGATTGCCAGGGAACTTCACCTTACCTTTGAAGATGTAGCGCAGATGAAAGCCACTTCTTTGAATGCTGTTATCAGATCTGAAGGTAATGAGCATTGTATTGCTCGATGTCTCAAAGACGGAAGGAACGCTTTCACCACAAAATCTCCCAACGGGCTGCGCGCTCGATACAGGACCATCCTTTACTTCCAAGAAATCAGCTTCACAACGAGTATCATATTCCAGTTGAAAATAAAGGACCTCAAGACGTACCACGTGACCCACTGGTGCAGTGATAAGCCAACTGCAGTGAGAGTTAGGTGCATACAGTCCCGGGTGATAAGGTGAGAAGATGAAACCTGATTCCTTCAAAAGCCTTTCGTTACATGCTGGACATTAACCAAATGAAAACCAAAAGAACAGCAAGTTATAAAAAAGAAACACGTTTAAAATATACTGCATAATTTTTCAAACAATTCAGTACATTCAGTATATTCAATATTTTAAACTCAACTCTTGTAGTTTTTTTCTGGTCTTAGATGTTACCTAAAAGTGGTAGTCAGAGAAAACAGGGCAAAATGTTAAAAATGTCAATGGAAGCGGATCATCAGAATTAGTTCAGACTAACATTATAGATAAGTCAGGTGGAGTAATGGATAAATATACCAAACATAGGTCCTTCACTGCTCTTATGTTACAGATACGCTCAGCATCAATTTATTCGATCCACTAGGGCCCCATTTTATAAGCAAATTTTGACCATTTCCTAACGCTCACAAAATCCTTAAATTTAAACGAGCAAGTTCATTTTTTGTATACGATACAACATAACACGGGACTGCTTTCTTAAGCCATATATTTGTTAAGTACTACTGGGAAGACTAAAATTTTTTCATTTTAACTGACCTAAACTCGGTGTCTGCAAACGAGACAAAAATCATTATTTTTTTAATTGACCTACCGTATAGCGCAGAACTAAAATGACAGTAAGACAATAATAGCCAAATTGCAGTCTTCTTAAATTAATGTTACCAAAACACAAATAGTGATTTTGGTTGTTGAAAAAGGAAGAAATTGGAAAACTCACATTATTCATTTAGTGCCAAACTTTTCTCGCAAACAGGCCGATCCCAGTTCGTGTCTATTTCGCTCTCA